GGTCACTAAACTCTCTGAAAGTCGAAACATGTTCCCACAGAATTATTAGCATTATCAACAATTTTTAAATATATTTTGGGGGATCAAATAAACGTCATTTTTTGTTACTTGTAGTTGTTGGTCAATTTTACTTTTAGAAAAACTGCAAAAAGCAGCTTCAATATTTTTGAAAAAATTGTAAACGTTGGCTTTGTCGTTCGAAAGGCTAAATACACGCCCAGATGACATGCAGTATGATGTCTCTAAACAACGTCATTGTGCCATGGTGGTGTACAGTACTATAATCATGAAAGCAATGGTTGTTGCCAGGCAACTGTTGATATGATATTTCAGCCACGCTTTATTACATGAGTTGTCTTGCCTCAACGATCACGTGTTACTTTACTGTCAACACGAAATGAACAAGCCGAAAGTTGCCCGGTTGCTTATTGATTTCGTTATACGGGTGGGCAACAATGACCTTTAGTACCAGCGCTGTGACGTCATAACATCGGTACGTAAACTCGGAATCTGCCGGGGGACAGAGATAAAAACGTCAACCTATTGGAGTTATGATAGGGATATTGTTAGCGTGGAGTTAGGCACCTTTTTAAATACTGACATTGCGTGGACCGGCCAAACAATGAATTCCGATCGCTAGACCAATGTGATCGATCATGGAGAAACGACACTGGCATTGCGCGGTGAATTCCACGTAGGCGTCGTCGTCGCGAGTATCATTATTACGGGTTGCTGATACTATTTTGAGGAACATCTCAGGTAGGTACTGTCTTTCTTCTCAATGTAACGTACATATACGGACAATATCTATGTGTAATCGACAATGATTATATGCCTGTTTATCAAACACTTACGGGTTCTAATACAGATTATATGTCGGTTTCACAAAGCAGTGGCCACGATTGGATGCGTGGGTAACCTTTGCCATAGTATATGAACGTTCATGAACAATTTAATCTTTCACTTTAAAGTTTACATAAATGTCCTGCATACTAATACCACAACTCAGCGAGTACAAGCACGAATTTAATTTAGTCACAGACAATTATCGCGGTCAAATCTTAAAAGTTAATTCTTTCTTGAATTATATACATTTTTTTATTTTAAAATAATTCTAACACCGTTTTTCTGGTGGCTTAGACAGAAAATGGAAAATCATTGTCTTCAAACAATCGACAGGTAGTAAAAAGTATTGAGCAGTGTTTGTGTTAGCATTTCTAAAGAAGCAGCTATTGTGTTTAGACAAGGCAACAGGCAGGGTCGGGGAGGAGTGTCTTCAAACGGGGCATTAACACCAAGTAGACATTCCATACCAGTCGTACTATGCGACCACCAGCAACCAAAACTCATAGATTAATCCAAGTAAATGCGAATATGGGTAATATTGGCAAGGCGGTGCATTTCTTAATGCCGAGTTCAACTCGCTATGGTGTTTGAGGAATTCTCCAAACAATGACCTTTATGTAAATTCATGTCTTGACACGTTCCTAACGTATATTAACCAATACTATTGTTATGCGTCACGTGATCTGTATTGTTTGGCCCCCCCATGACCCCATTATTACCCCCAGTTATGCCGATCCGTAAGTTTTTATTCGCTTACAAACCAAACGTAGTATAGACATTATTCGCTTTCAACCCAAAAGTAGTATGGGGTTTATTCCATTACAACCCAAAAATAGTATGAACTTTATTCGCTTACAACCCAAAAGTAGTATGGGGTTTATTCCATTACAACCCCAAAATAGTATGAACTTTATTCGCTTATAACCCAAAAGAAGTATGGATTTTATTCGCTTACAATTCAAAAGCAGTATGGATTTTATCCAATTACAACTCAAACGCAGTATGTATTTTATTCCATTACAACCCAGAGGTAGTTTGGGGTTTATTCCATTACAACCCAAAAGTAGTGTGGATTTTATTCGCTTACAATTCAAAAGCAGTATGGACTTTATTCGCTTACAACCCAAAAGTAGTATGGACGTTATCCAATTACAACTCAAAAGCAGTATGTATTTTATTCCATGACAAACCAGAGGTAGTTTGGGCTTTATTCCATTAAAACCTAAAAGTAGTATGGGGTTTATTCCATTACAACCCAAAAATAGTATGAACTTTATTCGCTTATAACTTAAAAGTAGTATGAACTTTATTCCATTACAACCCAGAGGTGGTTTGGGCTTTATTCCATTACAACCCAGAGGTGGTTTGGGCTTTATTCCATTACAACCCAAAAGTAGTATGGATTTTATTCGTTTACAACACAAAAGTAGTATGGACTTTATTCGCTTACAACCCAAAAGTAGTATGGATGTTATTCAATTACAAACCAAATATAGTATATACATGTACGTTATTCAAGTGCTACACAAACATAATGCATATCTGGGCTGAACTTGATTCCAGCTCTTCCGCGCTTCGGGTGACAGGCTTATGGACCTTATGGACCGGGAACCACCGATTTTGAGTTCGCTATTACACGTCGCGCACCGTGAAAAGAACAATAGCGTTATGGAATTTTTTTTTTCTACGGCCAGGCGTGTTGCCATATCGTGCCACGAATAGTTTAATATGTATAG